TTAAAATAATAAAATTTTAAAATATAAAAATAATATAATATAATGATATAATATAAAAATAATATAATATAATGATATAATATAATGATATTATATATAAAATATATAATAAAATTAATGGCGGGGGCGGTGTGCCGGGTGAGGGGGTCACTCCTGGAAGGCTAAGGGGTCGCTCCGGGAAGTTTAAGGGGGTAATGCGCCAGGCTGAGGAGGCGATGCGCTAGGCTGAGAGGGCCGCTCCTGTAATAAAAGACACATATTTCATTAGATTTTAATAATTTATTTTTGGATACTTTTTGTCATATTACAAATGGAAAGATACTTACAATGTTATCCATTTATTTAATGTGTGCAAATGGGCCACATGTTACACGGCAGTATTTGAAGTAGAGATTTCCTACACTCTTTGCACGACATATTATATCTATTGCAATAAGCTGTGATTCTATGTTGCCGAACAGATGTAGTTTCCAGAAACAATTCCGATAGTCTCAGAAAGCAGTGAGCGCAATACCGCGATCCATTTTCCATGTAAAAATAGGAAATATAACATATCTTTGTTGCCTCGTTTAATGTTAATATTTCGGGTAAGTCTAAATGTCGCTGTTTCTGTTGTACTAGTTCAGCATCACTATTGTCACTATCGTAAGCACTGTCTATCAAGAGTTCTATTTCTACATCAGAACCATCCTCGTCTGATTCATCTAGATTGTCAATGTCCATATGGTTATCACCATTGTAGGGAACCGCAGGGAATGACAGGTTCGTACTCAATAATCACACGGTAATACGGTATAAGTAATATTTATTTATCCTTCATACATAAGATCGGCGATAATGTCGATAGGGGGAGTATCGCCTGTGATGCCGGTGTTGTTCCGTGGTCTGCGATCCCGCGTTTCGGACCCGGTGGCGAGCTGATCCCTCAGGAATGGCGTCGGTCTGCGTCGACACTTCCCTTGTCTCCCTGGTAGTCTGCGTGGCCGTCGTCTGGAGCACCTCCTGTCTAGTCTGCGTGGCCGTCGTCTGGAGCCCCTCCTGTCTCCTCGACAATCGGGGGTCCCGTACGGCGAGCGGTTCCGGTGAGATCCGGAGTGGCGTATACCAGGGTATCGCGGCGACTGGTGCGGACCCTGGTGGTACGGACCCTGGTGAGACCGGAAACGGAGTGTTCGGCCTCGGCTTGAGGACGGCCTTCGGTCTCTTTGCGTCCAGGGGGTGGAAGGCTACGACGCTCTTCGTTGGCTTGCGCCCTCCTGGTCTCGTTGATGGGGCCAGCGACGGGTCGTATACTATCTTCCTCCTTTCGTCTTTTAAGGAAGCCGGGATTCGTACCCCGAGGATTATCTTCCGGGGCCAAAATTCCTGGGAGGCCTCGCCCGAGTGTGGGCCTCTGGTGGTCGAGCCGCCTCGGGACAGCGGGAGTGCCGCGGGTGGCCCTGTGGACTCCTTGTGGCTCCTTCGGCCCGTGAGCACAGGTGCCAGTCGCGTCCTCTTCCGGACGGTTATCTCCTCTGGGAGAGGAGGCGCGTTCTCCTTCGCCGCCGTGGTATTGTCTTGGTCTCTTCTTCTTTTCCAAAGCTGGATGCTCGTTCTTGCTGCTATCTTCAATCTTCTCGAGGCGCGTTTCTAATGCGATAATCACAAGAGTGTCTTGTCTCTGCGGGGGTCCTCCTTATATCCGCCGCTTATTGTTTCCTAATTACGGGAAAAGCACAGTTGGCGTGTGCCGCCTGGTGGAGGTGCCCTGTACTAGGCGCACAGCTTGCCGCGTGCTCGCGCGCTTGCGAGAAAGCCGGGCTGCCGCGTGCCCGCGCGCTTGCGAGAAAGCCTCGCGCCGAGTCAATGCGCTCTCGCGAAACGTCTTTTGTGGCGTGTGCCGCCACATTACCCCCTTCGTTGTATTTTACTAGGATGGTTGGAATCGTACCGTCTTGTGTGAAGTTCTCCCACTTCTTGTTTTGATTTCTGTGAGTACCGGTGTTTCCTGATTTCTTGGAACCGTTGGAGCGTTTCGGGGTTCTATTTGCTTTTTTGTTTGGGCTAGTTCCTCTGCTAATATGTATGCTGGTTTTAATCGGTCTTTTGTTACGTGGACGGTTTTCTCGTTGATCCGTAACTTATAGACCTTTTCTGTTCTGTTTAGGACTTCATACGGGCCGCTATACGATAATTGGAGTGCCCGTGTTGGTGCGTCATGCCTGAGGAACACGTGTGATGCTTTTTCCAGGTCTTTGTACTCAAAGATTGCCGGCGTTCCGTGTCTCTTAACCGGTTGTGGTCGCAGACTTTTCATAGTTTGCTTGAGTCGGAGTATGAAATCATTTGAGTTCTCCGTTGTGTCCTGTGATTCTTGAAGGAATTCTCCGGGTAGCCTTATTGCTTCTCCATATACCAATTCTGCCGATGTTGCGTGAAGATCTTCTTTGAAGGCTGCCCTGATCCCCATCATGACTACTGGCAGTATCTCTGTCCATGCTTCTGTTGCGTGACATTTTATTGCTGTCTTTATCTGGCGATGGAGGCGTTCTACCATGCCGTTTGCTGCAGGGTGATAGGCCGTTGTATGCACTTGCGTTGTACCTTATTTTGGTTAATTGTCGGAACAAGTCGGCCTCGAACTGCCTTCCTTGATCCGTTGTGATCCGAACAGGTGTGCCGAATCTTGCGATCCAGTGGGTGAATAGATTCTGTGCTACTGTTTCTGCGGATATGTCTGTTACCGGTATAACTTCGGGCCATCTGGTAAATCGATCGATCACCGTGAGGCAATACCTATAGCCTTTTGAAATGAGTAGAGGTCCGACCAGATCTATATGTATATGCTCGAACCGTTTTGAAGGGGTCTTAAAACTGCCGAGAGGTGTCCGATTGTGCCTCTGTACCTTGGCTCGCTGGCAGTTGATACAGGCCCGTGTCCATTGATGGCAGTCCGCTTTTATTCTTGGCCATACGTAACGTTCTGCAACTAATTTCGCTGTAGCTTTGGTCCCTGGGTGTGACAGGCTGTGTAGCGATTGAAATACTTGTCTTCTGTATTCCTTTGTGACGAACGGTCTTGCGATTGGTGTCGTTGTGTCACAATATAGTGTGGAATTCGTCCCAGGAATTTGTATCTTCTGCAGCTTCAGTGCTGAGTCTTTATTTATTAATTCTTGTAATTCAGTGTCGTCTTCTTGTGCTTTTGCTAGATTCTCTAGGTTCACTGATTCCTGGATCTTTTCGATTCTTGACAATGCGTCGGCGATAGTATTGTCTTTTCCTATGTCGTATATCGGTAGTAAATTGTCCGATATACTGTAGATGTCTCGTCTGCCTTGGTGAGCTATGCCGTGGGTCTTGCTGAAAGGCGTATGTGATTGGTTTGTGGTCCGTGAAGATTGTGAAGTCTCTTCCTTCGAGCATATGGCGGTAATGCTTAATGGCGGCATAAATCGCCAATAGCTCTGTATCATAAGGGCTGTATTTTTGCTGCGCTGGGTTGAACTTTTTGCTGAAGAAGGCTAATGGCTGCCATTCTTCTCCGTTCCGTTGTTGAATCACCGCACCCATTGCTCTGTCAGAAGCGTCTGTCGTGAGTGTGATCTCTGCTTCAAGTTTGGGGTGTGCCAGCATCGTTGCCCTGGCAAGGCTTTCTTTGCATTTCAGGAAGGCCTCATCTAATTCTTTGTTCCAGGTAATTGGTGATTTCTTTTTGATCTTTGGACCACTGAGTACATCGTTTAGTAGTACTTGTTCCTTTGCAGCGTCGGGGATGAATCTTCGATAGAAATTGAGCGTCTCCAGGAATTGGCGCAGTTGTTGTATGTTCTGTGGTTTAGGAAAACTCTCTATTGCTTTGATTCTGTCTGGCGGGGGTTGTGTCCCTTTTTCTGAAACTTCGTATCCTAAAAAGAGTACTTGTTTAGCTCCGAAGATGCATTTAGTGGGATTTAACAGAATACCGTTTTCTTCCAACCGTTTGAAGAGTTTGCGTAGATGTTCTTCATGTTCCTCTTCGTTGCTGGAGGCCACCAGGATGTCATCGATGTAAGCGTAACAGAATTCCAAATCACTCGTAATCTCATTTATGAAGCGTTGGAATGTCTGTGCCGCATTGCGTAAACCGAACGGCATGTATCGGAACTCGAAGAGACCGAAGGGAGTAGTAATTGCTGTTTTTGGTATATCGTTTGGATGCACAGGAATTTGATTGTACGCCCGAACTAGGTCCAATGTTGAGAAAATCCTTTTGTTATGGAGAGTCTGCGAGAAATCTTCTATATGCGGGATCGGGTAGCGGTCTGGTACTGTCCTTGCATTCAGGCGTCTGTAGTCTCCGCAAGGTCTCCATGCGTTTTCTTTCTTCTGAACCATGTGTAGAGGGGCTGACCAAGGGCTTTTTGATGCTTGTATAACCCCCTCTCGTAGCAGGAGGTTGAACTCTGCTTTTGCTGCTTTTAGTTTATTCGGATCTAGTCGACGAGGGCGGCATGCCTCCGGTGGTCCCTCTGTAGTTACGATATGGTGCACGGTGGAGTGTTTGATGGTCCGCGCCCTAGTTGTAGCTCTTGTAATCTCGGGAAATTCCGCGATGCGATGATATTTGGTTTCGATTGTCAATACCTTTATTGACTCAATGGATCCTGTCTCTGCTGTACCCTTGATGTGTAGCTCTGTTTTCCCGTCCACCAGCACTCCTTTTTGTAAGTCCGGTAGGAGATGGTAGTAGCTTAAGAAGTCTGCTCCGATAATGGGTGATGTGACGTTTGCTATGATGAATCGCCATGGAAATGAACGTCGTAGTCCTAGGTTTGGTTGTAGCGTGATCCATCCGTATGTGGTGATCAGAGAACCATTTGCTGCGAATAACTCGTAATTCGTTGGCAATGTATGTCCTGTTGTCATCGAGCGGGGATGTACGCTTACATCGGAGCCTGTGTCTATGAGGAAACGTTCTTTGGTTGCTCGGCATGTTACATGGAGGCGGCGGGGTATTGGAGCGGAGCCACTGGCCGCCATTAGTGGCTGCCCTGGTCTTTTTCCGAGTCTTTGTCAGTGCATGGTTGCGTGCATTTCTTTGCTTTTTCGCCGAATCTATTATGATAGAAACAGTGATTTTTATTATATTCTTTGCTTCGGCTTCGGCTTCGGCTCCTTCTGTCTGAATCTCTTTCCTTCGCTCTTCCTCTTGCCAGACGCGTGGTTAAGGTTGCCACTTGTTTCGCTAAGGCCTGGATCTGTTTTTCCAGTGTTGGGTTAGACTTTCTTGGTTTAGGGGCATCAGTTACTGCTACGACGGCCCTTGATGACATTTCATGGATGCGGTCAGCTTGTTCAGCTACTTCATTGAGGCGATCCTCGGTGCAGGTTGCGAGAATCATCTGCATTTGATTGGGAAGTCTCCCAAGCCAGAGTGTTCTCAAGAGAGAATCAGGCACGTTTTCTCCTGCTAATGTGCGCAGGTGTCGTAGAAATTGCGAGGGTTTTCGATCGCCGATTTCCTCTAGTTCTAATAACTGCCGTATCCGCTGCTCCTGAGAGATTGACATTCGTTGGATGAGGGCTCTTTTTATGGTTTCATATTTGTCCGCTTCGGGGGTTTGCGTTATTATGTCTTTAACCTCTTTTATCTGGCGGGAATCCAATTGGGAGAGGACGTAGGAGTATTTTGTAGAGTCCTGTGTTATGCCGCTGAGTATGAATTGTCCCTCTAGCTGTGCGAACCATAACTCTGGTTCGTCGCTCCAGAAAGGGGGAATCTTAACCGCCACTTTATGAACGATTTCTCTTGCCTCGTTCTCCATTTTATTACCGTGTGCGTCGGGGTCACCAATTTGTAAGGAACCGCAGGGAATGACAGGTTCGTACTCAATAATCACACGGTAATACGGTATAAGTAATATTTATTTCTCCTTCATACATAAGATCGGCGATAATGTCGATAGAGGGAGTATCGCCTGTGATGCCGGTGTTGTTCCGTGGTCTGCGATCCCGCGTTTCGGACCCGGTGGCGAGCTGATCCCTCAGGAATGGCGTCGGTCTGCGTCGACACTTCCCTTGTCTCCCTGGTAGTCTGCGTGGCCGTCGTCTGGAGCACCTCCTGTCTAGTCTGCGTGGCCGTTGTCTGGAGCCCCTCCTGTCTCCTCGACAATCAGGGGTCCCGTACGGCGAGCGGTTCCGGTGAGATCCGGGGTGGCGTATACCAGGGTATCGCGGCGACTGGTGCGGACCCTGGTGGTACGGACCCTGGTGAGACCGGAAACGGAGTGTTCGGCCTCGGCTTGAGGACGGCCTTCGGTCTCTTTGCGTCCCGGGGGTGGAAGACTACGACGCTCTTGGCTTGCGCTCTCCTGGTCTCGTTGATCGGGCCAGCGACGGGTCGTATACTATCTTCCTCCTTTCGTCTTTTAAGGAAGCCGGGATTCGTACCCCGAGGATTATCTTCCGGGGCCAAAATTCCTGGGAGGCCTCGCCCGAGTGTGGGCCTCTGGTGGTCGAGCCGCCTCGGGACAGCGGGAGTGCCGCGGGTGGCCCTGCGGACTCCTTGTGGCTCCTTCGGCCCGTGAGCACAGATGCCGGTCGCGTCCTCTTCCGGACGGTTATCTCCTCTGGGAGAGGAGGCGCGTTCTCCTTCGCCGCCGTGGTATTGTCTTGGTCTCTTCTTCTTTTCCAAAGCTGGATGCTCGTTCTTGCTGCTATCTTCAATCTTCACGAGGCGCGTTTCTAATGCGATAATCACAAGAGTGTCTTGTCTCTGCGGGGGTCCTCCTTATATCCGCCGCTTATTGTTTCCTAATTACGGGAAAAGCACAGTTGGCGTGTGCCGCCTGGCGAGGTGCCCTGTACTAGGTGCACAGCTTGCCGCGTGCCCGCGCGCTTGCGAGAAAGCCGGGCTGCCGCGTGCCCGCGCTGCCGGCGTTCCGTGTCTCTTAACCGGTTGTGGTCGCAGACTTTTCATAGTTTGCTATGACATGACCCGATGGATGTCTTCGGTTTGGATATAATTCGGCGTATCTTCTTGCAGCAGGATTCTGCTGCCCGTGATACTCGCCAAGTGCCATCAGCATGTCGTAGTATTCTTGATTTGTACGTCATTATACGTTTCATGTTTTCTATCGCATTCGCAATGAGAAGGTTTTAGTCGATTGTTCGTCTTATCTCGCGTCAATCACGCGCCACGCGCAAGGCGTTTATTGTTAGATGTCGCGTGTCGCGTTTCTGGCAACATATAACCCTCGTGGTCGCGCAGTCTCCGCGGTCCGTCGCTTCGCGTCGAGTCATGTGTTCTCTCGCATTCGCGTTTCTTTTAAAGTAATTTTTAGTCTCGATAAAACGATGTGAATCGAGTGAGTAATAAACAGTACTCCTTATCGCGTAATCTGTGTCAATCGAGTGTAAGAGTGTTTCGAAGTGAGAAAGTTTCGATATGTCGCGCATCTCTAACAATCAGCGGTGCAGCGATCTAATAATCGTGCAGCAGGTGAGTGAGCAATAAGTAAGCAGGTGAGTAAGTGAGTGAGTGAGAGAATGAGTGACTAAATGACAGAGTGTTGTAAAAGAGAGAAAGAGAGAGAGAAAAAAGTGTATGCGTACGTGCGTGCGAGTGTGTGAATGTCTGTCCCTCTTACCCTTCCTCCCTCTCTCTCTCTCTCTTTCTCTCTCCCTCTCTCTTTTACGTACACACTCCGCCATACACACATCGCATGTAGCAATCAGCTGATTACAATGTTCGACGGTCGGCGATCCGGAATAACTTTTAATAATTAACATTATTTTAAGGAACACGTATTCCTGATGTAATTCTAAGACATTTTCTTCTTTACCAAAATTTTATTTAAAGCATAATTTTATTGTTATAAGATAAAATAGTTAGTGACTCATGCAGTGGTAATCGCCTGTCGGGCGATCAGCTGCGCCCGCGCTCACGGCGCGCCGGGCCGCCCCTGCCTGCCTCCTGTACCCGACGCGTGATTTACTAACTATTTTTGCTTATAACTCAAAAACTACGCTTCAAATCAAATTTTGGTAAAGAAAAAATTGTCTTAGAATAGTGTCAGGAATACGTCATTTTAAAGACGGAAGGTTTTTCGGGATCGCTCTGTAGAGCATCGCGTCTCATCTACCTCAGCATTTTTCTACATCTTTAGCGGAGCGTATTGAGAAAAATTGTCGACTATTCGTATGGAAGGAAAGAAATAAAATCATAGATGGAATAAAAATAATTATTTATTGCACGCATCGTAAAGAATATCATTTACAGCACATATTAATAATTCGCAATCTATCAATGATTCGCTGTCAAAGACATCACTCTCGCGTATTGTTTTTACAGCATCGCATACAGTAGTAATATTACTACGTTGTAATACAGTTTCAAATTGTTTAAATTTTTCATTTACGAGATATTCTCGCATAACCAATGATGCATATGATCGATATAATTTTCAAAATTAAATAAATGTAATAACGTTTCTGGTTTCATGTACAAAGAATTGCCGCATAATGTGAGTTTTACAATTTTCGATTCATACATTTCAATCGTTAAATCTCCAATCCTTAATGGGGGAGCAGTCGATTGTAGAAATTGTTCAATGTCTGCTTGCTTCCGCATCAACAAATTCTACATTGAAAAAGGCAACACTATTTGATTGCCTCGATTGTCGCCGAGAATCAGTTCCACATACGATACAGCTCCAACGCTTATTCCAATGTCCAAATACTTGTACGACGTCGGGGTTAGAGCGTACCTTCTTCCAAGTATGCGAGCCGCACGACGAGGCTGAATACTATAAAAATATAAATAATTAGACCAATATATTTATAATTTAATTAATATAACAAATTTTTTAAACGATTTAAACTTACGTGTCGCATTTCTGCTTCTTACACGGCGGAGTTTCGCCGTTTCGAATCGGAACGTAAAAATTCATATTTCTTCAGCGGTAAACCTTTCACACGCGCGATTGATGCAATACTGCAATCGTATTAGAATTAATATCAATTCAAATAGTATCGTAAATTGCGATGTAGAGGGGATTATTGCTGACGCAACCTTTTAATTTCCTCCAAAATTTTATCGCGCCGATGTACGGCTGCCCCTGATGCAATCACGTTAGATTTTTCAAATGTACGTGACAAAACGCGAAATTATCAAAGTCAAATTGCACACGGTACTACGGGGAATTTTTTGTAAGATGAAATCATTCTAGAATGTTCGATGATAAAACAATGCATGAGACGATATATAAATCATGATAGAGAGGCCACCCCACCAGTAGCTAAAGTGCATCAGGACAGTCATTAGAAATTTTGCAAGTGTTACAATATGGAGGAGCAAATTTTGCGAGAGCAATCCGTTTTGCTTGATTCGTTGGAAAATTATATTGTGTGGGAGCAACGATGCGACGAGTACATCGAGTCGCTGGAAGAGCAAAGTCAAATCAAACGACCGCGATTATCGATCGGAATCGCTGATTACTCAGATCGCGCGCCTCGAAGGGTTGAAAAATTCGGTACGCGGACGTTTCGTACACGCGGGTGCCGGATGTAGTGCACGCCAAAATGGACTTGTGTGGCGCGAAATTGATACGGCGTTCGAGAGTCGCGTATCGACTGGTGCGGTGATAAACTATAATCACATCGAACCGCGCCAATTTCTCGATGACGCCAAAGACATTGTGTTGGAACATGTACAGGACGCTTAAAAAAAACACAGCAGTGTAAAAGTGAACACTATATTCAACAGTGAATTTGTGTCGGGTGATAAACACGCGAATAAAAGTGTGAATACGAGAAACTATGAACTCTTTCCCATATCTGATTTACGCGAGCGGTACGAACAGTGCGTTATCGAGTCCACCCTAGCGTTTCTAGAAGAGTTTCAGGAACGCGATAGCGGGTGGGCATTATCGCGAATATTTAATTTAACTGTAAATATTAACAAGTACAATTCCATGCGCGCGGGATGTCACATCAAGTTACCGCGGGAGATTATGATGAAGAGAGCGGTGATTAACGTGCAATCAAAGGACAATGCGTGTTTCGCGTGGGCAGTGGTCGCCGCTCTGTATCCCGCCGAAAGGAACGAGAATCATCGTTCCCGCATTACGCGACAGTGCTGAATCTCCGGGACATTGAGTTTCCAGTGACTGTGAATCAAATTAAGAAATTTGAACATGCAAATGACATTTCAATCAATGTGTACGGCATCGAAGACAAAAACAGCATCCCGATACATCTTTCGCAGCAGAAACGGGATAAGCATGTGAATCTGCTATACATTGAAGACGACAACAGCGTAGGACATTTTGCAAGGATCAAGAATTTATCCCGGCTCGTGAACTCACAACTAACCAAAAATTATCACAAGAAATATATCTGCGACCGGTAAGTGTAATTAATATTATTTGAATAATTATATCAAATAATTTATATAAAAAATCTTATGATAAAAAAATTTTTTATTTCTTTTACAGATGTCTACATTATTTTTATTTAGACGACAAGTTGTAGTCCCATATGGTCGACTGCGGAAAGCTAAACGACTGCGCTGTCCGATTGCCGAGCGACAAGGACAAGTGGCTCGAGTTCAGCAACCCTAATCGGAAGGAGCGGCTTCCATTTGTGGTCTACGCCGATCTGGAATGCGTCCTGGCCAAGACGGAAGAAGAGAAATTATATCAATATCATCAAGTATTTAGTTTAGCTTACTATGTACATTGCTCGTTTGACGACTCATTATCGACGTATCATTCGCATCGTAGCGCCGATTGTTTAGCATGGTTCGTCGCAGACCTTAAAAATT